AGGGGGGGTGGGGATAAATTTTTCGTTAAGTTTAGTTCCAAAAAACACCGAGAGAATAGCCTTGCTTACACGATTTACTTTTTTTTTTTTTTTATTCCGTAAGGTAATAATTTTTTTTGCGTTAGTAAGGAATTTTTGCATTTTTTTCTTTTTTTTTTTTAAAACACCGAACATACATGCCTTATACTTTATGTACAGCCTAGAGTCTTTCAGTCGTTACTTTACTTAAAGAGAGTCGTATGAGATGAGTGCGTGAATTTATCCTTTCGTTTCCTCTGTCCTCGTCCTTTTTAGAATCAGAACTCTGTGAATAATGATCTCCTTCCTCGACACGCGAGAAAGACGGAAAATCATGGCCCGCGATCTACATTATATATCGACGCGTTGTGAACGCGTCACACTAAATTTCCTCGCGTATACGTCCCTACACGTCCCTACGCGTGTTCGTGTTGCTAAACGAGTCATTCTGCGAATTCGCTGCTTTCGTTCGATTTCGTCTTCTTGGTCCAAACGTCCTGCTCGGCTAACTACAACTAGCGAAACGACGAAATCACCACTATTTTTCTTTTTTTTTTTTTTCTCTCCTTCTTCTTCTTCTTCTTTTCTTTCTTTCCTCCATTTCTTCAACGTGTTCAATATCTATATAATATTATTAGTTCAAGGTTCTCCTGTCGAACGGAATTTCTAATATGAAATACGAGAAGATACCTCGAGTAGTCGCGCGCACGACGCTCATGGATTACTCTGTGAAAAAATTAATGAAAAGAGGAGGGACTGGCGTTCTTCTCGTGTCGTGTCTCTCGCCGCGGCCGAAAAAAACAATCGCGACGATTTCTCTTCCCTACTACTCGAACCTATCACGCGACTGATCCTTGCAAATTAACGCTCTAAACTCGTTCCCGTAAAGTTCGTGTCTCTCGCCAACGTCCTCGTCCTGGTCCTCGTTATCGTTCGTCTCATCTCTCGTCGTCGTTGTCGAAACGATCGATAAGAAGCTTTTAAAAAATCGTTTGATTTCCCAAAAAAAAAAAGAATACTGGCGAACACGCTAATGTAGTAGAACACTCGATTTCTTAAAAATTGAAACTTCCTAGATATTTTCCTAAAAGTGACGATAGTATGGCGTCGATCATTTCGACGGTTGTTTTCGAATTCCATCTAATTTCGTCTCTAAATTTCGTCTTACAGTCGATGCTAAAAAATCGAAAGGATCGGTGGAATGGAAAAAATTCGCATTCGTCGCGATGCGAAATTCGTAGAGTTCGTAGAAAAATTCAGACGAGAAGAAATCCTATCGTTCGATCGTTCGAAACGTTTGCACCCCCTTTTTTTCCTTTTTTCTTTTTTCTTTTCTTGCCTCTCCCCGATTTACGTCATTTACGTTTCTAACTAATCGACCACCACGCTTTTTTTTTCTTTTTTGATCGATTCGATCCAGAAGAAAAAGGGAAAGAACACCGATCCTTCTAGAAAAACGAGAGTGGAAAGTGTTTTTCCTTTTTTTTTTTTTTTCTTTTTTTCTTCTTCTTCACAAAAATGAAAAAATTCTACGAACGCCGCCGTTACAGCTGCTTCTCTTCCTCTACGCGATAGAAAATTTGCATTTGTATCAAAATGTGGGCGTTGTCGCGCGTAAGAAAAATTTTTCCTTTCCCTCTTTTCTTTTTTTTTTCCGCACTTCTTTTTCGCATTTCGGTAAAAAGCGACCGAGTGAAGAACAAACCCGCGCCTATACACGTAGCGATATCCTTTCCCTCCAAATCCCTTATATACATCTACGCGTTTCTCATTTTCTTCCTTTCTTTTTTTTCTTTTTGTGTGTGTGTGTGTGTGTGTATGTGTGTATGTGTGGATTCCTCGATCGGTCCATCGCGGTAACAGAACGATTTTCGCCGATGAAAATTCTCCTCTCCCCCCTTCTTTTTTCTTTCTTTCTTTCTTTCTTTCTTTCTTTCTTTCATTCTTTCTTTCTGGAAACCGAAGAACTTGTTTCCAAGAAACCAATCGTCCTCGAATCGATTCTAAACGACGCCTAATCGATGAAGATCACCCTAATCACATGACCTTTCCGATCAACTCTTTATCGTCTCCCTTTTTCACTTTTTCTCTTTTTCGAGCTACCAAAAGCTTGAGAGAGGGGGGGGGCGGGTTGAGGGGTAAACGCGTTTCTACCGAACGCCAGCCTCGAAATAATCGAGATTAGAGAAATATTGTCGCCTTGTGAAAAAACGTCATCTATACGCGCGCCAACAAAAGTCTTGGCTCGTTCTCGTTTCGCATACGTTCGTTAATGACCAAAAATATATGTATATATATATATGTATATATAATATATCATTCCTTATATAATTATGTTGCTCCTTACGAGTTAAGTAATGTTAGTTAGTAGGTAATAAGTTTTTTTTTTTTTTGCATTAGGTAGTTTTACATCGATAAAGGAAAAAAATACGTTGTTGTTGTTGTTGTTGTTGTTATTGTTGTTGTTGCGTCGGCATTATTATTTTGTTAAATAATTTGTTCGTGTTCTCACCTCGACCGTCTTTTTCTTTTTTTTTTTTTTTTTTNTTTTCAAAAGTCCCGTGTCTGTCGCATCGGCCATACGTTCGATTCGCGCGCGACTTGTCTCGGCCGGATAAACAACCCTCGCAGAATTTTTTTATCGCGCGCTCCTATGTCTCAACTCTGTCTTATCTCCTTTCCTTTTTTTTTTCTTCTTTTTCCTCTCTCTTTTTTTCTTTCTTTCCCTCTCACGGAACGCGCGGACTCGCTTAACGCCGCTCCGCCTGTACTACTACTTCCCCCCGTTTTTTGTTCTCCGACACGCCAGGATGTCGTATCCTCCGTACGATGGATCACCCGACGGAGTGTCGGAAAGCATTCGTCCCATGCACGTGTCGAAAAAATTGTGTTCAATAATTATTAATCGAGCGAACGAGTATACATTTTATTACTGCCTGCGTGTCACTGTGTGAATAAAATGGGGCCATTTGTGTGAGATCAATTGTGTATGTGTACGTGTGTGTGTGTGTGTGTGTGTGTGTGTGTGTGTGTGTGTATATAACGTGTGTGTCTCGGTGTACGTATGCACGTAACATTGTACGTGTTTGCTATATCCGTTTTTTTTTCTTTTTCTTTTCTTTTTTGCGCCTTTCCACGAAATATTCGCCATAAAGTCGAAAAAACAGTTCCGGTACGACCTACCGTCAGCTGGACAGGAGATCGAGGAGGCCGGATACTCGTGTAAAACCGATGGAATCGCGCAATGGGTTCGCGGATGGTCGGGGTATTTTTCGCTCGCTACTTCTTCTTCTTCTTCTTCTTCTTCTTCTTCCCCCCTTTTTTCCCTCCGTTTCCTTTAACCTCCCATAGAATGTATAACATGGAACCGCTCGCCTCGACGCGGGCGGTTGTCGACTTCCGGAAAGGAAAGGGTGGCAGGGTGAGGGGCTTGCGGGTGTTAAAAAGCGCGTTCTCTCGCTTCGCGTGTCGTTCGCGTTTTTCGAAACGTTTGCACCCGTCCCCACGTGTGCACGCGCGCCGCGCACACACGCGCATCACCAACGGAGGAGGGAGGTGCTCGGCTTTCACCTCGGGGCCTTCTCCTTCTCGGGAACTCGGTGGTGGTGGTGGTGGTGGTGGTGGTGGTCGCGCCCGCTTTCATAGCCGAGGCGCGACAAAGCGGCGAGTGTGCACGATTTCCGGTCGTGTTTCCGATCGCCGGTTGGCCGATGGATCGGGAGACGCCGAGAGGGCGGCAACGCTGCCTGCCAAGCGCGAAACCGAAGGGAGAAAGGGAAAGTGGAGGAGGCCGAGAATCCTCCGACCGTGGCGACGCCGTGGTGCGTCGAGTACGACCCGCGGAATCCCCCGCGCGTTATTCATCCCCCGTACCCGTACGCGCGCATTTACGCGCACACGGATCGTATTTCGCCGTATTTATCATATATATCGTAAACTTTTATACTTATACTGGTCAACGATACCGACTTTTCTTTCCCTACTGCTCCACGGAGTCTTCCATACTGATCACGGGTCCGTGTTGCTCCGCCGATTGTTGTTGGCTGCTCGTCTGCTCACCGGACCTGTTGTTCCCGCTATTGTAGCCCCGTTGCAGTTGCACCACCAATCCGCTCACTGCACCGTACTCCTTCTGTTGCTGCTGTGGTTGTTGTTGCGGTTGTTGTTGCTGTTGTTGCGGTTGTTGTTGTTGCTGCTGCTGCTGCTGCTGCTGCTGCTGTTGCGGTTGTTGCGATTGCTGTTGTTGCGGTTGTTGTTGTTGCTGCTGCTGTTGCGGCTGCTGTTGTTGCTGTTGAGTCTTCTGGCTCGAATGATCTACTATAAGCTTACTATCACAGGCACTTTTTTTGTCAGTTGGTACGGCGTAGAGATTGTGTAAGTCCGGGTAATGATTCAATTGCTGCTGCTGTTGTTGTTGTTGTTGTTGTTGTTGCTGTTGCTGCTGCTGCTGCTGTTGTTGCTGCTGCGGTTGCTGAGGGGCCGAGGGGGCGAGAGTTTTCCTGTCTCGATCCTCCTGCCCTCCACCGTTGTGTACCTCGCGTTCCCTGCTGCTACGATCGATCTTGGCCGAGTCGCGGGTACTGTCCTCGTCTCTGCTCCCGGCTCTCGAGATGGAGAGGGGCGTGGGCGGCGACGTGAGTCGGTCGCTGCCGTCGTCGTTTCGACCCCTGTCGGACGGTGACGGGCTCAGGTCGACGGTGGGCACGCGCTCGGGCCTCTCGGGCACCGGCCTCCCCCCGCTCGCCGACGGCCCCCTGTAGCTCTCGTCCTCGCTACTGTCCTGCGCCAACCTCGGCACAGGCGTCCTCCTCGAGTTCCTGCACAGTTGATCGATCAACGCTTTGCTCCTCATCGACTCGGGGATTTGCTGCTGCGAGGAGGGTTGCTGTTGCTGATTCCTCGCCTCGGTCATCGCCCTCTGGTCCCTTGGAATACCCGTCTCGAGGCTCGACCTGATCAAATTGTCCAAGAAACTGCCGTTCGCCCCCGACCCGTCGTAGATACCCTCCGAAACTTCCCGCGGCACTTTGCCCATCTGCGGCGTGCCCCGGGAATTCGAGGTCCCGGGCGAGGTTTCCGCGATGCCTGCGCCCACGCCGACCCCTTCCCTCTCCCTCGCTTGATGCTGCTGTTGCTGTTGCTGCTGCTGCTGCTGCTGTTGCACCATGGCCGCGTTCCTCTGCTGCTCCTGCAACCCTCGGATCCTGCTCGTGGCGAAATATTGCTCGGGCAGGATGGTGGGGACGTTGGGCGCCCCTGCCATGAACGGCGACGGCATGAACGGCGGCGGATTCCAAAAATTGAACGGAGTGAAGGGTAAATGAGGCATCCCCTCCATGAACGACGGCATCTTGATTCCGTTGGGCCCCGGTATACCGCCCGGCGACGTGAAAGGTTTCTGCGGCTTCAATTGCGGCTTCTTGTCCGCCGTCCCCGGTCTGATATTGGTCGCGGCTGCCGCCGCTGTCACGGTAGACGTCTCCTTCGTCTTGTCGTCCGATTGCTTCTGGTCCCTGGAACATCGATCGGGACCAAAAAATTCGCGTGACGATCGTATATATAGACTATAGAGAGTATATACAAGGGAAGGGAGAAGGAAAGAAGAAGAAGAAGAATACCTCTTCCTCGGCCTCATCAGATGCCGTTCCTTCACTTTGTACTCGAGGGTGGAGTGCGGCACCCCGTAGTAGCTGCCCGCGCGATGCACGCTCATTTCACCCCTTTGAACAGCGCGCACAGCCTCGACCAGGCTATCCCTGTCGTAGTTCCTGTACTTGCCCCGTTTCGGCCTCGTTCCTTTGCCACCGGTGGCCGGCTTCGGTTTGTTCGCCTCCTGGCTCTGCGCCTTCGCCTGCGCCTGCCCTTGCCCCTGTTGCGTGTTGGCCGGCTGCGGCGGCGTGTATCTACCCCTCTTGAACGGGCTCGGGTCCGTCATGATCGGCTGCTGCGACTGCACCACCCCGCCCGGCTGACACCCGCCCATCCCACCGCCCGGGACCGTCTGCCCCTCTTGGAATTTCACGCTGATGCTCTTCGCGATCACGTCGCGAAAGTTCACGGCCACCGTCTTCCCCACCAACGAGTTGGTCGGGCTACTGGTGCCCGAGAACGCTGGACTCGCCCGTTCCAGGAGGCCGGGGCTCGAGGCCGCGGTCGCGAATCCCTGCGCGAACGCTGCCGAGGTCGGCTCGCCGTTCTTGCTCGAGCATCCGGGCGTGCTCGCTGGCTTGTAGGACGGAATCTTGAGAATAGCTCTCCCTTGCGCGCTGTCGCTCGCCTCCTCCTCGATGTTCGGATTGAAGTCGTCGTTCGTCATCGGGCCCCTCTGCTGCTGCTGCTGCTGCTGCTGCTGCTGTTGTTGCTGCTGCTGCTGCTGCTGTTGTTGCTGTTGCTGCTGCTGCTGCTGCTGCGACTGCGACTGCGCCTGGGCCTGGGAATGCGTCGAATGCGTCGATTGATGGTGATGCAGCTGCTGATGCGTGGGTGGCTGCGACTGGTCCCCGTTCACGCTTTTGCTCAGCCTCTTGTCCTCGCTCATCAGCCTTCTCATCACCTCTGGAATGCGATAATCTTGGGTCTCCATGCCTGGGGAGGGAAGAAACAAAGAAACACAGATATTGGAATATGTTGTTGTTGTTGTTGTTGTTGTTGTTATTGGACGCGAGATCGATCGAGGATCGAGGAACATGTGATTTCTCGTGATTGATCGTCCGTCGCCCCCCGTTAAACTGTCTCGCGCCTATCAACATTTGTCGTAATCTCGGATTAGCCTCCGACCAACCGCTTTAAGTCGCCAAGTTCCCATTGAGAAAGTGAAAAAAGTGGTCGGCGACCCGTCGACCACCACCTGGCTTCTATCGATTTCCGAAGACCCACCGGCTCGTAATACACTTTTCGACTTTCGTCTCGACCGACAGCCCCTCCTCCCCCCCCCCCCCTCGAGACTCCTCCTCTAACCGTCTGCCTAGGTCGGAAATAACCCAAATTCTTCTTCGCGAATTATTCCTTCGTCTTCGTATTATTTTATTTCTTTTTTTCTCTTTCTATCTTGTCTGATAAATGTTAAATTAGAAGGAGGGGAAAAAAGGAAGGAAGGAAGGAAGGAAGGAAGGAAGGAGAAGCGCGTGTCCTGCTCACCTTTGAACGGCGCAGCTGCCGCGATCATCTTTTGTATGTAAGGGCCGATGTTGGCGTGTTCAAGCCCCGGCCACTCGGCCCCCGTCTCCTGTCCCCGTTGCAACAACGTTCTCAGGGAATCGCCACCGCTCCCTTCGAGCGTGGAAAACCTGACGAGATCCTCCAAGGACAACAGCGGCTTCAACAGAGCCTTCTCCACTTCTTTCTCCTCTTCCGCTCCGGACAGTTCTTTGTCGTCCACCTGTTAAGAATATTTATTTCTAGCGTTTTCTGCACCTTCCGCGCCTTTTCTTTTTTCGAAAATAAACGGAATTAAAATTCAAATGAACACGGATCACGATGTTAAACACCGATGCCGCCCTCTCGAGGAAATGGATCTCGGTCTCCTACGTCTTTGGAAGTGTCGTGAAACGAACACTTTCTTCGCGAATACTTCTTCTTCTTCTTCTTCTTCTTTTTTTTTTTCTTTTCCACGATTTTTTTCATCGAGAGGCGTATTCCTTCTTGTGTATTTTGCGTATTTTGCGTGTTTCTGTGTTGTAACTGTGTTGTCCGTACAATGTAAAGTATACTTTTACGCTATATCTTTTTCTTTGTCAAATGCAGAACGATCAAGCGTCATGCAGGAATTGCGAGAAAGAATCGTTCGCAAGAAGCGTTACTATGACGCGTAAAAAAATAAATAAATGAACGAATAAAAAGGATATATATATATATGTATGTATATAAGAAAATAAGGGGATATATATAAATATATATTTATATACTTTGCCCAAAGTTATTCTCGCGATGATAATAATTCCTTTTTGTATCGCGAAAAGAAAGACAATGGCAAGGTCGAAAATTGAGAACCAGCTCGAAAACATTTCGTTTCCCGGCGAGTAATATATACCCAGCGTTGTACACACCGGTACTGATCTCGTAAATCATTACGTTCAAACAACATGCATTCAAAAATCATAAAAATCTACCACAAAACTAAACTATCTGCGCTTCTCCTAATGACACCAGGCAGAAGAACATCGTTCACAAACAGTAAAATCGTAAAAGTAAACTCTAAAAGATTTATTTCCCAAAGTGTCGGGCGCCGTTCGTTCCTTAAATTGTCACGTACAACTTTGGAAAATTAATCTTGTTTCCGCTACTACTAGGAAAGCGTGGTATCGTTTATCGTGTAATAATAATAATAATAATAATAATATTGCTTTCGAAAAAACCACGCCGTTTCTTTTCTTTTTTTCTATTTTTCTTTTTCAACATGCCTTGCTTTTTTACAACGAACACAACGTCCCGGAAAAGTGAGTACATTTCCTGAGTACATTCCCTTCCGAATACTACTACCGAATATCGAGTACATAAGCTATTGTGGGTCGAGTAGCACGATCGTCTGTAAACAAACACATCGAGGATGCATAGTGTCGAGGTTGGGGAAAAAAAAAAAAAAAAATAAAAAATAAAAAAAGCGTATTGATACGTATTGGTTTGTAAATAATATAATCGTTGCAACGAATTCGTGGGCGCCACCTCGAAGGGGGCCCGCCGATTCGCCGGAAAACGCGCTCGCGTCCAAGGAACAATTTTTCTCTCCTCTCGGCTCGGAAAACGATCGTCCCGAAAACTTACCTCGAGTCTTGCAACCTCGCCAAGACCAAGCGGCCGTGTGTTAAACTACAAATAGTGAGATAAAAAAGTTAAACAGCCCATGCAAAAACATTCGACACTACTGAGCATCACGGCGACCGATCGGATCGGATCGCGCGAACCGATTCGATTCCTTTTATTTTCTTTCTTTTATTTTTCCGTTAATTTTTAACGGAGACGTTGAAATTCACGAGTCCCTCTCTTCTTCCTCTTCTTTTCGCGAATCGGTTCACGCGAATCCAACGATCACCGTGGCAGAGGTATGTTTTGGGGAAGCTCCATTCGTTCTTCCTAACCAAAACCACACTTAATTATAAATGGGCGGTCTTTCTTCGCTAACTAATTAATTAATCAAGATTGCATTTTCGTTGTTATCTCTCTCCATCTCCCTCCCTCATATATGTATATATATATATATATATATATATATACATATATATATACTCTCTCCTTATCCTTGGATGCGTCATCTTTCGCTTAAGATAAACCGCGTCCAAAGGCGTCTCTCCTCTCGATCGAGCGTAATCTTTCCTCGTAACGTGCGATAACTTATGATTAATGACGATGGAATGTGAATCAAAACCTGAAAGGAACTGGTGGACGGTGTTTCTTTAATTGCGGCGCGCGTACGTACGTACGAAAAGAAAAAAAGAAAAAAAAAAAAAAAAAGAAAAGAAAAAACGGGAGACGAAGAAAAATCTATGCGACGCTCGTCGTTCAAGAGAGGACGATAGAGCAATTCCTCGATCAACTCCTACCGTCACCGACACGATTATCGGGCATTCTAAATGGAACAGCTGTACTGATATATATATGTATATAACCGGGAATGAAAACTCTTGCCCCACCACGGTGCTAGAAGAAGCGTGATCCTGAAAACGGCCCTATCACACATCTTTTCCTATCCATTCTTCTCCATTCTCGATCCCTCCATTAAATAGGCACTCGATTTCCGCCAATTCTCAATTCTCTCAATTTTAATAAAAAAAAAACTCGACCCGTCGTTTCGTCAATTTTTACTCTCCCTCTACAGAAACCTCCGTATCGTCCTTCTTCTTCTCTTCCCTCTCTGCCCCTCTCATTCCTCTCTCTACTTCTCTCTTTCTCCCACTCTCTCCCCCTCTCTCTCCCTCTCTCTCCCTCTCTCTCTCTCCCTCTCTCTCTCTCTCTCTCCTTCCATCTCTCTTTTTCTCTTGTTCTGTCCCCAAAACCTACCTCATCCACTTGCGGGGGCGGAGTGGTCGCGGAGGCGTTTTGGGTCGTATTTGGTGTTGTAGTTGTAGTAGTAGTAGTAGTGGTGGTGGTGGTGGTGGTGATGGTGGTGATGGTGGTGGCTGGGGCGCCGGGCTCGTGAGGGTGTGAGTGGGTGCTAGACAGGGACGCGTCCCTTTCGCGCTCCATCGCAAGCTTGTAGACCTTGTTGCGCAGGGTGCTACGCGGTATCCCGTAGATCACGGCAGCCCTCCGTGTGCCGAGCTTGCCACTCTGGATATCCCTGAGCGCGGCTTGCAGCTCCTCCTCGGTGTAGGCCCTCCGGCCACCCCCGGCACCCACCACGGGGACACCACCGACCCCCGCCGCCGCCACGGCCGCCGCCGCCACGGCCGCCACCGGCCCGGTCATACGTGGTTTCGGCCGATAACCGGAACTGAAACGTTACCAAAATTCGCATTACCATTTCGTGTCGGCCCCCTCCTCGTGCACCGACCGAGACCCCCTCTTCTTTCACCCCCGAATCCGTCCTTGTCAATCGCGATGCGTCTCCGACGGAAAAAAAGTTTTTCCCCAATTTTCTCGATCTGAGATTCTGACCAGCGCTCAACTTTATCATTCGTCTCTGCTTATAGACGAATATAACCGGTCATCATTTATACAACGTACATTTTCGCGTTAAATTAATATCAGACTCGTCGTTCAACTGTCAAGGGGGTTTAAATCTAGCTGAATTCGGAAATAAACGGATGGACGAAATATTATCTATTCAAACGAGATTTCTTTTTATACGGCGTGCGCGACCAACTTTTTGATCCGAATCTCGAGGCGAGTCGAGGAGAAGCACGGATTTCCTTTTTATTACCAGGTTATAGTAGTATTGCTGATTTTCGCATCACGTGCAGAAGTGGTTCACCGGCCAACCCGCGCCACGGTTTTCCGCTCGGCAACCACGTGGCCGGTGTGCCGTGGCCACGTGTCCCGCGCGAGAAACGAATCGATCCAACCTCTGTGTCTCGTTAACACTTTGATCTTTGACCTATCGCCTCTCGTCCCAGCGAATTCTAGGTATATACGAAATTATACGGGTGGGAAAGCTCGTTTACCAATTGCATTGCGCAATCGTTTACTGAAAATATGACTTGTATGATCATTTTCCCCCGCTTTCTTGAACATCGCGTTTCGAGTAGCTCGTGTCATTCCCTCTCGTAGATCATACGACGATATTCGCGCTTCTTTATCGCGTTCTTCGAATTTAATTCTTCGAATTAAAAAAAAAAAAAAAAAAAAAGAAAGATTTCAATTCGCAGTATCACTGAAAAGGAATGGAGTGACGACGGGTAGTAGCGATCTCGTAGTTTGACAATCGGATCAATCGAAAGAATTCGTCGTAAAAGGACCCTTTTCGCCTTCTCGACGTCGAGAACATGCCCCTCCCTCGCCTCCCCATTACGAGTTCGTCGACCTATTCTCTTTCGCCCGGTAAAGTAAGCTGATAAAAAAGTGTATTTCGACCGTTCCCACACCTCCCTCCCTAATAAACTTCGGTTCGAGTACCGCTTGCAACACCCGATATCTCTCCTCTCCGATATTTTTATTCTTTATATTCGACGCGATACCTGCCGCGCCACCAATTAACTCCGTCTCTAATCGCTATTCCAATTCCTTCGCCACTTCGACTCGAGGTTAATTAATCGCTAATTTCTCGGCTATTCCTAGACCTAAATAATTAACGCTTTGTCGGTGAAATCGTAATTACTCCCATTTTAATCCATCATTGTCCGCGCGGCACCGATTAAGATAAGAAACGGTCGCGATGCGACGAAAACGAGGCACGCAGAAAAGGCACGAGAAATCGATCGACCGTCGTTGTATCGAGGTTGGTAGTTAATCTTTTTTTTAAAATTATCGTACATCGTTCCGAAGAATTATTAAAAATCTAAAAAATTAAAATTCTTTCTTAAAGAAAGGCGAGCGAGCGCGCGCGCGCGCGATTGATCGATCCGTCTCGTTACTCGAAACAACGCCCGAAACGTTCAGATTCATCAATCTCGCGATCGTGTACAGTCTACAAAATAGTATCCTCGTTTTCGCAAGGGAGAAGACGAGTTTTTCAGCGAACGACCGTGGACTCGATTTTCTCGGTTCGGTGGATCGTTCGGTAGCTTCTAATTTCGACTCGACTCGCGTGGTTTCGACGCCGGGCTATCTTATCGTTAATTGCGGTAGCGCGCATGCGCGGGCGCGATCCGAGACCACCGCGCCTCTCGTCTCTTTCTCTCCACCGTTCCTCTCCCGCGTTTTGGTCTTTCTCGCTCGGCTCGGCTCGGCTCGGCGTACGACACATGCGAGGTACTTTGTGCCTTCGATGTGTCAGGAGGTGGCAGATTACGGTGTTACTAATAATAGACGACGATAAAAATTTGACGCGCAAAATGTTCCGCGGGGAAAACAGCGAAAACACGAGGGCAACGTACGGACACGGTTCGCGACTTTGACTCCTCCGCCGCATTATATTCTTCTCGCTCCCTTCTTCTCCCTCCCTCCCTCCCCATTCCCCCCCTCCCCCTGTATTTTATTTATTTTTCGCCAACCTCCTCGACATTAGAGAACCGCTATCGGGATTTACGACTTAATTTATTTCGGGTTAGGAAACGTTGAACTCGCCGAGCGAAAACTTTGCCGTTTCTCTCTCGAAACGGTCTGATTTCGTCCAATTTATCATTATTTAACACGAATATTTTTTCAACCGAGCCGAAATCTTTCGATTTCTTTTCCCGCTCCGATCTTCGATTAACTTTCACGCCCGATTCGCGGCCGAGCGGCCAAGTTTCTCCTCGCAATTTTCGAGTTACCCTATGGAACGGATTACGATTTTTAGAGATAGACACGGCGTTTCGAGGCTCTCGGCAACGAAATCGAATAATCGAACCAAGAATATTGCCGAGGACGCGGTCGGCTTTTCTTTTTTCTTTTTTTTTTTTTTTTTTTTTTTCTTTTCGTTAGTAACGCGGATAAACGTGGAACGGGAGCGCGATAATTTTACCGACACGCAAATTTTATTGAAGAGATTAACGGGCGGATAACGCGAGGCGGTACGCCTCGACGCGGCCACCGCGTTGTTCCCCGCCTAGACTCGAAACCGACGAAAAAAAATGTAACGGACTTTGGTGGAAATTTTCGTAACGAGCGACGGAGGGGGAGTGGGGGAGGGACTCGGGAAAAATGCTCGAGGGAAAATTTTCCGAATAAGCAAACGACGGTAGGAGAGGGAGGGACTTTTTAATTACCGGTTCGAAATACGCCGCCTCTACTATACAGGATTCGAAACGTGCACCGCGAATCCTATTTATAATGACGCAACTTCTGCGTCAGTGTACGCGCGAACGACGCGCGATACGATATAAAAGTGATCCAAACTCTTTTGAGGAGGAACAGGAATCGAGGAGGAGTGAGGATAGGGGAGGGGGGAAGGAGGGTTAACGATAGCCGATTAATAGAATCGAGAAGCACGAAATCACCCTCGAAACGAGTCGAAAGCCCGTTTGTCCGTTTGAATCGTCGCTCGAACGCGCGAATCTATTCTCGATCCTTTTGAATACGCGGCACGGAATGCGATCAACACTTTCCTTTGCTCGCGCGGAATGCAAATACCTATATATCAGAGGTAGATAGGTAGGTAGGTAGGAAGGTAGGTAGCTTCGTTTCGCTACGAGGTGTAAAACGAGCCGCGTGATAACACACCGCTACGAATCGACGAGCTGCGCTTCTTCTCGTTCCGGTTACCGGACTGTATCATCCAACGATGATGACGAATTTCTTTTATTTTTTTTTCCTCTTTCTTTCCCTCTCTCTCTCTCTTTTATTTTCTACTTTTCTTTTTTTTTTTTTTTCGACGACGAAACGAATGAAAATCATCGTCGGGAGAGCGTCTGATATCGTTTTCTTTCCTTCTCTCTCTCTCTCTTTCTCTCTTTCAGTCGGTGCATGGCGAGAACGCGAGAAAATCGAACGTTGGTTCGATTCGCATCGAATCGATGGAAAAGAAAGAAGGACTACTTACTTAAAGATACTCTTGGGATCGATACCTGCTGTCATCCTCAGAGGTATTTTCTGTTGTTCCAATAGAGATATGTTGTTATCCTGCGACAGAAAGCGTACACGTATCACCTAACTGATATCCCGTATTCTCGCGTGAATAAATAAAAAATAATATAGCGTATATATACATATATATATGTGTGTGTGTATATATATATATATATATACATACGTATAAAAATAAACGTAAACGTAAATGTGTAAATGTGAACGTAAACGTAAAGGTAAATGTGAGAAGACGACTAGTATGCATTAGGTCGATGACTCTCTCTCTCTTTCTCTCTCTCTCTCTCTCTCTGTTCGCGTGTATCGACGTTAAGGAAAGAAGGAAGCGAATCTACCCACGCCAGAAGGAGCGCACGTACCTGAGAATTTTTGGGTTTGGCCGAGAGGTCGAGAGGTTGGTCGGCTGGCGTTGCACTGTCCTGATGAGGCTGCACCCCAACGAGAGGCGCCTCCCTTGGTGGCAGACACCACTGAGGCAGTAAGGTGGGGTAGGTACCGGTGAGAGCCGCGGCGACCACGGATGCCGCCATCGGGTCCACCTGGACCGACATCGGTGATTCGGCCGATCGCGAGCTGCTGCTACTGTCGCTCTGCGGGCTCTGCAGGACGCGACATCGAACATGTTATATGTTCGTCCGGCTCGTCTCATTGGTCGACGAAACACACACGGAAAGGAACTGATTACCACCGGCGTGGGAGGGAAGAAGAAACGATCGTGGAAAAAGGAGCGTGCCCCCCTCGGGGGCGAGGCGAGGAGGGCGGCTAAATCGAATCCTGATCAAATTCGCTTCTCGCGGCGAGATGGTACGCGAGGCGTGATGGTACGCGGGGCGGCCGCCACCTTCGTGAAACTTTTATAAGGGCGACCGGCGGTGTCAAAGCGATCAAAGCCACGGAATGGACGCGGAAAAGGCGAGAAGTACTTTGGCGCGGGAATAATCAAAAATTGAACCGTTTCCCGGCGCGATGGCGGTGGTGCGAAAAGCCGAACGGGGAGGTGCCGATCATCTACACGCCGTTACACGCGTGACACAACCGCGCGTTTGTCCTTTCCGTCCCGCGCGCGATTAATTATGCGCTCTGAAGAATTACTACCCCGTTGCTACTAATGCAGTTTACATATACACACGCGATTGCGAATCGCGTCATGGTGACATCCGAGTCACGGTGACGAGTTGATTGATCCTCGAGCGAATTTATTCTCCGTCTAATTTTTTTCCCTTTTTCTTTTCCTCTCTCTCTCTCGCTCTCCTCGTATAAATCCTATAAATCTACTGTCCAGTGACGATCAACGTCACCATGATGCGACCAAGACCCGTTTTCTCAGCCCGCTGCTAGCTCGAGAATCGTACTTACGAGAGGTGGTTGATCATCGTGGGGGAGCTTGCCGTCCAGGCAAAAGTAACACTTGTCTAGCGGCTTCCAGTCTTCGGGCGGTGGGCTGGTGCGTCGGCTCCCAATCAGAAACGGCGCTACCACGTTCCTAGTAGCTGCCGCTTCAACCTCCCGACACGGCAACCCTGACCTGATCCCGTCCGAATCCAAACCGGGTGTCGTCAATATCGTTGGACCGCCTCCAGAACTCGGCGCTTCTTGCAACTCCTCCTCCTTCTTCACTCTCAACAACCCTTGCGTCACCGGTGTCCGATCCAACGCGACTTCCTCCGTTCGTTCCTGCAACCAACCATCCTTTTTTTTTTTTTTTTCCCCCACTCTTAACTAACTTAACTAACTAACTAACTAATCTAACGCGTCGATTATTCGAAAACTGAAGAGGAAAAGAAAAGAAAGAAAAGAAAGAATGAATGATGCGTGCAAACCTTGGTCCCTTCCGTATCGGTGGCGTTGGAAGTCGGATATCCCCGATCCTTCTCCCTCCTCAGAGGACTGATGGGCCTGTCGGCGTCTTCGTCGAGTTTCAACCGTTTCTCCGCCTCGCCCTGCCCCCTGCCATCCTCCTCTTCCTCGTTCTCTTCGTCGTCCTCTCTCTCCTCGGCCCCCTCCCCGTCGTTCTGGCGACGTTTCCGCAACCGCCTGGTCGGGATCGTCGTGGTCCCCGTGGTCATAGCCGCCGTTGCGTTCGACGTCGCGATAACGGTCGACGCGACGATGGCGCTCGATGGTGTCGCGGCACCGGTGCTCGTACCCGTCGTAGTCGCTGCGGGCAAAGTCGTGGTGGCACCCGTGGTGGTAACCGTGGCCGCCGTCGAGGTGTCGGTCCCGGCCTTCGATTCCTCCCTTCCAGCGCCGCCGTTCGCGAACTCGTCCTCGCCGACCTCGACTTTGATCTCGTCCGGCCTCAGACGGCGCTCCTCCTGCTGCCTTTGTTGCCTTTGCTGTTGCTGTTGCTGTTGATAGGGACGGTGGTGGTCTTGCACGGAGGATTGGAGATGGTGATGATTCTGCAGGTGATGATGCCTGTGGAGCGTCTCCTGCTTGATCAGGCCCGTGGCCGTGGTCGTGGCCGTTGCCGCCCCTGTCGTCGTCGTCGTCGTCGTCGTCGTCGACGTTGTCGTTATCGTTATAGGTAATGAGGTGGACGCAGGATGAAGCGGGCGCGACCCAATTTGTTCCAGGTTCCCGGGCACCGGGTCGCAGGACGACGAGAACGCCGGGTATAGCCGGTGGTGGGGCTGTGCCGTCAATGATTCGCTGCTGCGAGTACCGCTGTACAGGGTGTCCTGATATTGCTTCCATCTCCTACGGCCCATCAACTCCTCCGCTACCCGTTCCAGACCTGCGACACCACCGCAACTGCATCAAACAATGACGAGCGCCACTATTTCGCGTATGTAAGGTAAAACCGTTCCGTACGAATCGCGATGTATCTTTCGCTCTCTCTCTCTTTCTCTCTTTCGCTCTCTCTTTCGCTCTCTCTCTCTCTCTCTCTCTATCTCTCTATCTCTCTTTTAACGCTTATCTCGCAGGGCGTCGATCGACGAATCGTGTCCGACGAAGAGTCGACGATAAACGATCGCGCGAAAGAAAACGATCGGCTTGGAAAAGCGCGAGTTTCATCGCGTGAGCATAAAGATCCGTGAACCGCGATAAACGCGGGTACAACGAAGCCGATGTCGGAATCACCAAAATCGCATGCTCGAGAAAACCGACCGGACGTGGTTTTCTTTCTTTCTTTTTATTTTTTTCTTTTTTTTTTTTTTTTTTTTGAAGGACAACGGTGGTAACACGCACGTCCTAGTATCCGAGAGTATGTCGCAACGAATAGAAAATTGCGACACATTGTTAAAAGTGTGCAAAACTAGCTAGATTTCCTAACATCTTCTCTTTTCTTTTCTTCTCCTTCCTCCTCCCCCTCCTCTTTTCCACAGATCCATCGACTATGACTCGTTATCGGATTTCGTTTTCGAAAAACTTCCTAACCTCGCGTTAATTTAGAAATCTTGTTCCACTAATAATAATAATAATAATATATATGCATATATATATATATATATATTTATTTATTTTTTTTTACTTCTCGAATCATCGTGCGCGCGCGTGTCGTAATCGGGAAACGCTCCTCGCACACAACGGTCAACGATAGACGCTGATGATAACGGAATTTTTTTTCCTCTTCCTTATCCAAAGGCCGAATAGCCGGGCGTTATCGTAAACGGGCGAATGACGTGCCTCACTCCCGGCAATAACGAAACGGCGAAAAGGTTTTCGCGAGAGGCAAGGATCGTACGCCAGATATCATCGATGTAGTTATCCGCAATTTTTAATGCACCGTTTGTGACCAATATTAATTCTCAAAATAAATATGAAACGCGATATATATATATATATATATATATATATATATATATATATATATGTATACACATATACATATACACATCGAGTTCCAATGTAAATTCATCCCAACGTTTATTTTTCAACTCGAGATCGATATCGCGCTCAAAAAACTGCCGACAATTCTATAATATTCGCGAAGCGAACGGGTAAACGATGGAGCGTAACGCGGCTCCATAAAAATGGGATACCAATATCCTCCGGGAGGAGGATATTTTCGCGATTCCGAGAATTACACCGGATACCATCCGGGATCCTTGCCCTCGATCATCGTCGCGAATTGACCTGAACCTCTTCGTCCTCCTCCTCCTCCTCTTCCTCCTCCTCCTCCTGCTCCTGCTCGACTTCGTCCCACTTCGAACGCGTCAATTGATTCTAAACAGACACCCGGTACGGTGGCACGCGTCCCGCAAATGCACCATAACTGTCACGTCATTTGGTCGTCGCGTGTGCCACGGGCACATGCCAACGTACGACACGTACGTTACAAGTACGTACACGTTTGGTTTTCCACGGTTTTAGCGTGTGCGGCTACGGGATTCGCGTGCGCGAGAGGGAAGATCGAAGACAGCGGGGGGCGAGGGGGGAGGAGGAGGAGGCAGAAGGCGAACTTTTTCCATGGCCGGCTGCCGCCTCTATCTCTCACCCGAAATTGATTCCGGCGGTCGAGGGGGCCAACCTCGACGAATGGAACGGACGGACGGACGGACGGATGGATGGATTGTTATTCGCGCCACGACGCCTCCTCGACAACGATCTCCTCGATTCCCTCCCTCGAATTCTCGCCTCGACGAGAATGTGGACGCGACAGCTCGCGTGGACAACCGCGTAAACTTGCGCTACCGCGATTCTGCGCGACACTCCTCAAATTCCCGCCTTTTGGTCCCGCCTCTGCCGTCCTTCCGCTTCCGATGTCTCACTTCCCCCCCCTCGTCCCCCTCCCTGGATATCCAATGACTCAATTGGAGCGGCGCGGCCGTTTCTATGACGCGACACGGAAAAATCCAAGTGTCTGGGCTGGGGGAGAAGGGGGGAGGGGGGAGGGGGGAGGAGGGGGAGGGGGGGAGGCGAGTTTATCCAGACCGAATTTTCAAGGCGGTCGGATAAGAGTTTCGAAGAGGAGGAGGAGGAGGAGGAAGAAAAAGAAGAAGAGAAAAGAAAGAAGGGGGAGGGGGGGAGAAAATATTAAGAATGTACACACGCACACACACACACACACACACATACACACATGTTCGGCGGACTATTGATCGGCAAGGTTGCATTAAATGCCCGCTAGGCTGTAAAAGGAACGCGCGCAATGAAAAACATCTGAATAAATTATTATTGTTTGTCGAACGTTTCGAACGAATAGCGACGCCCCCATCGTGGTAGCCCATCGTCGTTTGTACCGGCCATTATTTAAACGCTCTAGTTCCACGCAGCTTATCAAATACAGGTATAATGCCAGTTTGCGGAAACGCGGACTGGATCTGCGCCGAGCGTCGCCGCCGCGACATATCTTGCTTGCACGCGCGCCGCTGTCAGAAAAAACGTATGACAAGCATTACGGTCAGGGCTGAGTTTGTACAGCCGTACTTTATAAATGGGCCACAGACCGAAATGTAGCAATATTTTCGTGCGGAATAAGTCTATCCCTCGTTATCCCGTCTTCGCCCTTCGTGGTAATACCATTTTCTCCTTTCTTTTTTCTTTTTCTAATTTCTCGATATCGCGAATCGAATTATTTTCCTTTCGATCGAAATTCGAGTTTTCCGAAATGGGGAAATGATCCGAATAATTTCTTCCTTCTCGAACCTTCTCGAATGAAACATTTTTCGATTAAGAGATTAACGGTTATAAAAAGGAAAAAAGAAAGAAAGAAAGAAAAAGAAACGTATTAATTTTAATTACGTAATTAATCTTTCAAAATTGAAATCGAAGTGACTAACGCTCTCTCGATTTAGCGCTTACTTACGACGGCCGCAGAGCAGATTTCAATCGCGCGAGCGAACGTGATCATCCCAACACGTTAATTATTTAGAAAATGTCGAACTTGGTTCGTAATCGAAGCGAGAGAATACGCATCGTTGGCCAACAGAGCGCAACAATTATAAACGAATCATCATCTTTGAAGAGAACGTGCGGGTCCCAAGGTCGCGTCATAGTGAGTCATGAAAAATCTGTCCGGAATAAGGCGATCGTTGCACACGAAAAAAATTTTTTTTTCTTCTTCTTCTTCTTCTTCTTCTTCTTCTTCTTTTCTTCCACGTTAAATTTAGCCTCGTTTCTCGATGACGTCAAATACACGACGACTACTACTCATCTACTCTCTGTCGCAGAGGAACAAAGGAAACGCGTTGCGCTCTAACTCTGCGAGTTAGAACAAGGCGGAAGAACAAGTGTGGAAAAGTCTGGATGAGAAAATTTCTTCTCTTCAGAAATAGATTGCACGGAATTTTCAAAAGGATTCTAACTTTTATATATATTTATGCATAGACGAGATAAACATCGATTACCCGCTTGGCAAAAAGCGGTAACGTTGATTAGAACGACCGTGATTATTTCTCCATTACGAAAGGTTGATTCGAAGAAAAAGAGGGAGAGAAAACAATCGTCTCGGAACTAATTATACGGCACGCAAGTCGATGTACTTTCGATGGAGAACGAGCCGGTTAAGATTCCCCCCTTTCCTTCTGAAAGGTCTGATTAACCTCGTCCAAGTATACCCCGGTCTGCGCCTACCCGGTTGCAGCATCGCCGACCTTGCATGTAATCAATGGGTACAGTGGGAGAATAATCTGTTGGGAAAGTAGTAATCGCGCTTTTTCCTCTCGCCGACTTCTTCGTTCGAGTGGGCGGCGACGAAACACCGGGATCCGGATTTTCAAATGAATGAACGTATCCTAACCGGAATGCAACGGTACAGGCCGAGAAGCGACTCGTGGATACAGCGTATATGTTTGTATATACGTATTTCGCAACGCGATTTCTAATGACGTAAATCTCTCGAGTCGAACCCTCGTCAAAAAACGAATTTATCTCGTCTCGATTCGTTCGAAGCGGATTCTTCAAACTTGCAAACTATCGCGAATGAAAGATATTTCCATCGCACACTTGTTGCAACAACAACATACTAAAAAAAAAAAAAAGAAGAAGAAAAAAAGCGAAACATGTTGCGTCAAAACTGCGCTTGCGAGATTCTAACGGTAAAAAATAAATATATATATATATGAAGTAAACTATGATTCCCCCCTCCCCTATCGGTTAAAAAATTGAGAAATTTCGAATTATGTGAGGGGAAGAGCGAGTTTATGATCTCCGCGACTATTTTTCTCGCCATTTTCTTTATCGATCGATCGAAGGTCGATAGTTGCACGTTTGGTCGTTCACAGCGAGCGAAGTTCGAGTCCTTGATCGATTCTAAAAGTAATTAGACGGGTGGCGCGCCTTTGGATGAAATTCCAGGCAGGAGGTGCCGAACCAATCTTATCTCGCGTGCCATTTAAGAAGAGGAAGAAGTAGGGCAGATGACCACGCCCGGGATTAAGCCAATGATGACGTAGACTTGGCACCAGGAACTTCTCCAGTGTATAAAACGATTATCCCTTCCCACTCTTGGCATTTCGTTCGCGATTAAAACGTCGGCCGGCGCATCGAAGAATTTCAAAAACTCTTCGGTGTTATACCGAATGGAGGGGAGGGGAGGGGAGGGGATCTCTCGAGTATCGTAAATTACTCGAAAAATCTCAACGATCCGTAAAAATGCAGTAATGGAAAATAAATGGAGTTTCTTCGGGTTAGAATACTTTTACATTTTTGTACCGGAATCGAAGGGAAGGGTACTCGAAACGTGCTCGAAACAACCGTGTAACCACAATGGAATGATGATAATAATAATAAAAATGGAATCCATTTTTTCTTTTCTTTTTCTTTTTCTTTTTCTTTTTTTTTTTTTTTCGAGAAGAATTTTCGATAAT